GGGGCAGGCTGTGGAAAATTTGCACTTAACGGTCAAAGGATCAATAATTAGGGTGTGACCGTTTGCGGTCAATAAACAGGACCGTTAGCTTAATTGGACGGAGGGACGACATTTGCATGCTTTTGCATTGTAGAAGGATGACAGGTAGAGTTAATTGATAGTAGAGGGACGACATGAAGCCAATCCATAGTAGAAGGTTTAGAATGCACTATTTTGGATGGTAGAGGGACGATAGATGGCCTTAACCCGTTTAAAGAATAAACTATAATATAGTAGATAATTAAGCTGAGATTTGACTTTTTTTACTTAATATTTTAGCATATTTACTGTAATATTTTAATTTATAACCATATATAATTTTATTTTTTAATATTTTAGGAGGGCCTGTGCCCTGTCGCCCCTTTATTACACCTCCAATAGGTTATATAAGAAAAAAATATCTCTTTATTTTTTTAATTCTTTTTCACGTCACTCAAAATTTAAATTTCAAAATTTCAAAACTGTACACCATATATTGCACGGTAGAATAAAAGAGAAAAAAAAAAAAGAAAAAGCGAAAGAATGATATAGATGGCATAGCTTAAAATTTTTTTTTTACTTAATTTTTCATTAAAAACTTTTTTGGTATTGTGATTTGAGGGAAGTAGTTAGAGGTTTTATCCAAACTATTAATATTATGTGTTTGGTAAATCTTTTTTTTTTTTAATTTGTCACAAACTAAGTGTTTGATAAAAATTTTATTTAGTAGTTTAAGACTAATGAATAATAATTAGGGTTCAAACCGTAAATAAATTGAAAAAGTTATTTTAGATAACTTTTTATACTAAATTGCCAATGCATTGAAGTTTTTTTAATTTGATTGACAAATTTATTCTTTTTAATTTTTTAATTTTTACTATGGTTTTTAATTAGTATTGAAGATTAAAAATATATATTTAAACAAATTTAATGAACTAATTAATGAAAGGATTAAAAAAAAACACATTTTCATAGTTGAGAGACAAAAAAAAAAAGCATAAAAAACCAAGAGATGAAAATTATGTAAAACTTTAAAGTTGAAAGATCAAAATTAATATTTAACCTATATAATAATATAGAGAAAATTACATATTAATTCTAATTCAAAAAAAATTAAATTCTTAACTTTAAATGAGTAGTTTCATTTAATTAAAATTTAATTCAAAATTTAAAATTTTACTTTATTAAATATTGATACATTTATTTATAAATTAATTATATATTTTAATATAATCAATTTTT